ATTGAAATAAAAAAAAAAAAAAAAAAAAAGGAGACTTAAAAAAAATTCCTCTGCACTTTCTTTCTTCTCAAGCCTGTCTTATTACTGTTCGGTCACACACATTCATGGAGAGTGGGACAGGACCTCCAGGAGCACTTGGGTGAGGTCCCTAATCTGTGAGTCGTGTGCTGTCTTCTTCCTTCCTGCTCATACCTCTTCTCTGTTCTCCAAACTGGCAGGTGGGGGGACATTTCCTCCCCTCACCCTTTGGAAATATCCTTCTGAATAATCTGGACCTTGAATTTCAGGGTAAGAGAAATGTTTCTTATTTAAAGATATAAAAGCAGATCCTTTGTATTATTTTTGCAATTTTTAGATCCAATTATTCAAGAAGTTACATCCATGGGGGAAAGGGGATAAAAAGCAGATCTTCTAGCCCAGCAAATCACGTTTCCACCTTCCCCCACTAGAGACTACACCACTGACTGAGCAGCTGGCCCTGAGCTTCAGCGATTTGTGGTGACACAGAGGACAGTTTCTCCTTCCTGCCAGCACTGTCCCCCAGGATAGGTTTCTAGCCTCCCAGTTTGTGTACAAATACTCTCTGTGCAATCTTTTATAAAATTCTCAAGATGTCAGACTCTGAGAGGCCCCCTTGATTTCCTGTCTCCAGAACCACACCTGGAAGCGGAGGATGATGGTCCAGATGAGGCCCAGGACCAGGCGGTGGTTGCCATCCACGATGTCATGGGATCCCATGTTCTCCAGGTGCACGCGCTGCTCCTTCAGGAACTGCAGGGCCTTGTCCACATTCTCCAGGCAGTGGATGCGCATCTTCCCCTTCGTGGGCTTTGGCTGGAGGAGGGCATGGAGGGGCCTCACAGTTACCCAGATGTGGTGAGAGCCTGACCAGCTCCTGTCATCAGCTCTTGACCCCTATCCTCCACCTGCCTGGCCAAACTCCAAGTTTTATGGCCACTCCTTAACATTTCTCAACTCCTTTCTTTCACCAAAGTTCAGAGGTTCCCTCCCTTTTGCATCCAGAGCTCTGCAGCCAAGTTGCATTAGTCCCCTTCTGGGTCTGAACAGAGACTTCTGAGTGGGTGACAAATAGCCTTCAAATGCAGGAACACGATAGGCAGTTAACTGAGCACGTATGATGTGCCAGGCACAGTTCTAAGAGCTATTTGCTGCTGGTGATAAAAGTGGTTTTTAGCTTGGTGGCAGATAACAAATCCATCCCTGCCAACCCACCTCCTCCCTCCCCTGGAAGTCCCCAGCTAAAACTCAAGGGGACCGTTATTGGCAAGAAACTGCCTCATTGGAAGAGTTCCCAGTGGTAATTCTCTCTAGTGGACTTCCAGTTCAGGGCCAGAGGCAGAATTTCAGCCTGGAGTCAAAATGGCAACCAAAGAACATGGTCCCACTGTACGGAAACCCCGAAGACCTCAGAGTACTTCCTCTGGTACAGGTATCATTTTAGACATGGGGAAAAGGGACGTAAACAGGACCCTGTTTGATAGGCCCTAGGTCACAAAGGATGTAACTGAGCAAAAAAGGAACCTTCAGCTACTTCTCTTTTTGGGTGACAGTGCTGTGGGTGACTTATAACTAGAGGGCTGCTATTCTACTTCCACCAACAAGAGTGGTAAAACACACACAGAAAATATCGTCCATGGTTCCAAGAGGATGCAAGTTTCTCCAGCAGCCCATACATCTTGGCCCACGTGAGGAGGCTGAGGGTTGGGCCACTGCAGGACTTCTTTAGGTGCCCCCACCCCACTGAGAAGTCCGAGGCCTGCATAACTTCAGGGGAAGCATGGGGGTGGAGTGGGAGAGGTTAGAGGGAGATAGGAAGTTGTGGCAAGAGGTCAGAGGACCCAGTCAGCCACATGGACACCTCACACTGTAAACACAGGAACCTCCTAAGGGAAGAGGGAGACACCTTAGAAAACCACAAGAACTTGAGCTATCGCCAAACCATGTGTTTTTTGAGGAGGGGCTTATGGTACCAGCCATAGGGCCCAGGGAAGGGGGTCACAGCATGGAAAGAGACCTCACCAGCATCTCTCCAGAGAGCACCTCCAGCAGCTTGATGAGCATCCGCCCATCCCGCAGGTCCTTGTAGAGATCGGTGATGCGGCAGGAGACGCGGGCCAGATGCGAGTTCACCCATTTTGTGAAAGTCTTCTTTTGAACAACTTCACGCTCATCTGGTGGGGAGAAGAGTTGTGGGTGAGGTGCCTGAGGTTGGCAGAGTCACCGTGATGTGGGGCTCCAGAGCTGCCCCCGTGCCTGGCAGAGGAGGTCAATGTGTTCATTTCATCCCCTTCCTGGGAGCATTTGCCATCAAAGCACAGCCCTTCAGCAACATGAGTCCACATGCCATGGGAATGAAGTAAAGAAATGGCTCCACCGCCACCACACTCTGCACACAGTACCAAGATGCCCCTAACTCAGCCTCCTGTTTCTCTGTACCAGTGAGAATGCTCCATGCTCTGCTGTGCCTTCAAGCTCAGATTTTAATGCCACATTTGCCCATCTGTCCATCCATCTGTCCATCCATCCGTCCGTCCATCCATCCATTCATCCACCCATCCATTCATCCATCCAACAGTCATTCCCTCTGCCTGGAATGCTCACTGTTGGCCCCTCCACTCCATCCTGTCCCCTTAACTTAAGTCTTATTCATCCTTTAAGAATTGTGTAAACCACACTTTTCAGGAGAGCATTTCCTGATCCCAAACACCTGCATGGGTCTCCCCTTATACCCTGTCACCTGCATTTGCTTTTCTAAGCATTACTTGAAGGCATGTGTCTCTTGGAAGACTTTGACTCCTTGAGATCAGAGAAGTCTGTCTTGCTCACCTCTCCATTCCTAGGACCTAGGGCTGCCTGTACAGACATTTATCTGATTCCTATTAGCAGGCCAATGCTAAGCTGGATGACACATAAAGGCAGAACACAGGGCCTGCCCTGCAGGAGTTCCTGGTAGGTAGAGGAGACCCATGAGCCAGGGATCAGTGGGCTGGGACTCCCCATTGCATTACGCTACCTTCTACCTCCAGAATGCAGGTGGGAGTCCTCGATTTCCAGCCACAAGAGGTTGACATGACACCCCCACCCCAAAGCAGCATCAGCTCAAACCAAGCTCTGGGCCCACAGTGTACTATGTCAGGAGGGGTACTTCTTAGCACCTCTGTGCACACAAAGGTTCTTGATTCCTCCAGATTAGGGCTGCGGAGGCTTGCATAAGATGCTAGAGAGAGGGCAGGAGCAGGGCTAGCACAGAGAAAGGGGAATTAACAGGAGAAGGGAGAAAGAAAGAAGAGAAGAGTGGCAGGAAATTAGAAACAGAAACATGATGGAAACAGAGGGAAAGGAGGAGGAACAAACCCTCCACCTGTCTGGTTCTGCGAACGTTTCAGCAATCTGCTCCTGGACTCCAAAGGTTCGGGGGAGGAGCTGACATGGCAGTGTGCTGGGCCTGGGGCTGCGGGCGGTCCCTGGGGAGGCTGTGCAGGGGCAGGTCGCAGCCGGGGCAGACTTGGGGTGGCCCAGCCAGAGGGAATGTCAACCCTGTGGGGACAAATGCGTGCTCAACTGAGCCCAAACTGTGGAAGGGCTGGCTTTTTAAATTATTAAATATCCGACTTAACAACACAAAGAGGACCTCAGCCAGGACAGCCTCAAGGGTATAATCCTGGCAGTTCCTGAGGCTTGGAGCAAATTCCTGCCTACTTCATGGCTATTTTAGTATTAGGAGTTCAGATCCTTTATTCATCTGTTCATTCATTCAGCAAATGTTTACTGTACAACCATCAGATGCCAGGCCCTGGGTGGAGGCAGGGAATTCAAGGACAAGGCAGACAGTCCCTATCCTTAAGGGACTGCTTCTTAGACAGACTCTACTCTATGATGAATGTTTGAGTCATACGTGAGAAATTCTGTGGCAGTCATCTAAATGAGACTTCCGAGGGCCCACGGCAGTAACGTGTGCTGAGTGATGCTGTTACAGGCTCAGGCCACCCGAGAGGCCCCAGGTCCATTCTCGGTCCATCCCAAAGCTGGGCCGTGGTGCACAACTGTGATCCCAGCAGCTTGGGAAGCTGAGGTAAAGGACTCCAATGGTCTATCTGAAATTTAAAAAGTGACTTCCCAGAAGAAGAAAAGTACCATTACTAACTATACGAATCTGAAATAAATGTAAAATTAAAATGGCATTTGTTCATTCTGGGAGTCTGGGCAAAGTTTCAGGGGCCACCACCTGTACCCTTTTTCTTTTTCTTTTTCTTTTCTTTTATTTTCTTTTTTTTTTTAAGTAAAGGTTTTGCAATAGGGCACATGCTCTTGCCAGAGAAAGACAGAAAGTGAGAAATTCCCCCCCTGGGGGGGTGGATGGCCACATCACAATCCCTTCTCCATTCTCCTCTTGGGATGTTGGGCATGCATGTATATGTATCCAGCATGATTTTCAAGTCACCAGATCTGGGACTGGAACCATGGTGAGCAATGGGGGAGTCTAGTACCTTAACCACCACACCACCTGCTGCCCTCCTTCCCCCTTCCCCTTTTGTCAGCAACTGCATGGGAAGCAACTGCATTTACTGTGGGGCATGTTCAGATTCAGCAGAGCTGGCCATGATCCCACGGTGCTTCCTAGACACTGGTCGGCTCTTTAGGTGGTAATTCTTCTAATCAGATGTGGACCCTTTGATTAAAGGGCTGACATTTTTAGCTTCTGTCCCCAAAAACCTAAAGTCCTTTTTCCTTCTTCTTTTTTCTGTGCTTAAGAGTCCAAACAGGGTCGGGACAGAGGCACAGTGGATAGTGGCATGCTCCCATGTGGGAAGGCTCTGAGTTTGTGACCGGGGACCTCCCTGGTTACGCCATATGCTCACGATCTGGGCTCGCTAAAACTGGGAGTGTATCACAGTGTCAGAGCCTTGGTGGGAGTGCTTTTCTCTCTTTCATGTATGGAAAAAAAATGAATTAATTAAAAAAATAGGAATCTAAACATTTCATTAGTGGATGCTGAGGCCTGATTATTACAGTCTGGCAATGGTAAGGAGGTGCTTCTAGCTGGAGATGTGGAATTTCATTCTAGTCCTCTGGGCTGGCACATATATTGGTATGGAAGCCCATGAGGCACCCTCAGGACTCCTCTGTTTTCAACATGTAGATGGTGTCTCCTCCTAGACCCCCAAATACTAGGCCACAGGTTTAGAACACGAGGTGGCCCACAGGCTGCCTTTTACATGAACGCTGGGGTGCAACTGCACAGAACTCCACCCCTGTCTACTTTGCAGAGTGTTGAAACATGAGAAAGATTCTGAGCAGCTAATGATGACCAGAGGAGAGAGCAGGCCCAGGGATTGGCCTCCATTAGGCCTCTTGCCCTGGCTGCTGCCCTTCAGCACGCTCAGCACCTTCATCCCCGCATGGCCCAGATGCTCATCTGGAGTCTTTCCAGTATGGGAGGGGGTGGCACGGAGTCAGCAGGGGTGGGACCCTGGTAGCATGGATGGAGGTGGCGGCTGTGCACTTGTCCTGCTGCCCTCAGGAGGCTCGGGCCATCCTGCAGGGACCCAATGTGGGAAGGACACCTCAGCTAAGGCCCTGCCAGGAGCCAGGCCTTGTTTCCAGTGCCCAAGCCCTGCCAGGCAGGAAAGGGAGTGAATCCACCCGCATGGGCTGGCTCAAGGCCTCTGTTGCCATCAAATCCAGGGCCTCTCCATCCCTCTCCGTTCTGCTTCTTCTCCTTTGCTTCCCAGGTGGTGGCCATCCTCATTCCCCTGTGTATCAGGGCTTCCTCTAGAAAACTCATCTTCTTCCCTGATCAGCCTTGACCCAGAATCATTGTCTGAGTATGTGTCGGGGTGACCTTTCCTTACTGTCCCCTTCCCTGGAGGTTTAGTCTGAGTTCAAATACATCTAGAACACCCAAACACTCAACTATTTCTCCACGAACCTGTCAGTTCACATGCAGAAAGTGCTGGCCCTCAGAAAGTCTGCTGTAATGTAAGCTGTCTTTGTTTCTGTCACTTTTATCACCACATGTGAAACCCTGGCCTAGATGCTATAGGAGAATAAGCAGGCTCAGGCCTCATGGTCTAGTTGAAAAAATCAAGACATGAACTCACAAAGAGTTAATTTTGCAACCATGCAAGAAATAAATGGCAGTCCATCTTAATAACACAAAAGCTGTCACAAGGTAATATTGTACTAGTTACCAGATAAATGGCACATGCAATAAACGCTTGAGAGGCTAAAGAGGAGAGAGGCCATTTCTAATTACAGTAGTCGAGTGGGGGGCCTTATTGAAGAAACTACTTTGGACAGACAAAAGGGGAGTGGGGCCAAGGAGACAGGAACTGACAGGATCAAAAGATGAAACTTGTTTAGAGTCTACTGAGTAATCACAGGTTAGAAAAAAATGTGTGGAAAATAGGTTCTAAATAGGACGTGGAAAGCCTTGAATGAGAGGCCAAGTAGTTTAGATGTAATCCTTGGGAGGGAAAAAAAAATCACTGAAGGTATAGCAGGATCATTTCCTGAAATATTAATCTGTAAGGACCCCAAGGATAGAAAAGAGACAAAAAGTTTCAGATTACATTTCAAAAGAAGTCTATAAAACCTATACAACCAGGTGCTCAAAAGAAAATGTGAACAAATGAAAAGGCACTTATTCTCTTGACTAAGAAAAGTCATCGCCACTGAAGCATCAATCTACCCTAAGTTAATATCTAGTTAGCCTAGGTAGCTCAGTTGGTAGAGCATCAGAGTTTTAATCTGAGGGTCCAGGGTTCATGTTCCCATTCTGGCACTTCACTTGGGCCAGAGCATGGCTCGGTGGTTAAGGCTGCTGGATCCCCCATGGCCAACGGCACAGTTTGAGTCCAGATCTAGTGGCCTGAAAACCACCAGGTGTACACATGTGTGTATGTGTGTGCCCAAAAATATACATCTACACATACGTGTGTGTGTGTTATAAATAAATTATATCATTTAAATTTGGGGAAACTAGACAGATGATTCTAAAATTCACTAGAGAAATAAGCAAATAAAAATACCGAGGAAAATCCCAAAATATCAGAGTAATAAAAGGCAACAAACCTTCCTAGATATTTTTCTATCAAAGAATAATATAAACTGATAGTAAAACTATGAGGTATTGGCATATGAAAAAGTGGGCATGTCAATGGAAGAGAAA